TTGGGGATTTTTTTTTCTTTTTTTTTTTTTTTTTTATTTGTTCTATACTTATCTACTTAGCAGTCTTCTTCAATTAGCTATTCAAAATACACTATATATATAATAAGTAGCAAAATGACGTCTTTGTTTTTGTTTTCCAATAACTCTGTACTCATGCCCCGGTAATGACTTCCCTGTATGCCAATAACAAGAACTCAATAGACTCGTTACTATTTAACATACGCAAAACTTCTTTAAGACGTCAGTAGAAAACTGAAAAAAAACCAGTGGTATTTCATTTCAAACGTATATCTGTATACCGATTCCAAAACAGATATTTTAACATATGCTATATCTGTATACCGATTCCAAAAAGAGTTTTTAACATATGCTATCTGTATACCGATTCCAAAAAAGACTTTTTAACATATACCATATCTTTATACCGATTCCAAAAAGACTTTTTAACATATGCTATATCTTTATACCGATTCCAAAAAGAGTTTTTAACATATGCTATATCTGTATACCGATTCCAAAAAGAGCTTTTAACATATACCATATCTGTATACCGATTCAAAAAAAGACTTTTTAACATCATGTAAAAAGAACTGAAGTGGAAACTGAAGTGGGAAACGAAAAGATGAATCCCTGTGTTATCTGCACATGATCGGCGACAGGCCCTTGATCAACCATTAGCTAGCTAGCTTTATCATGATGCGTTTGACTTGTCATTCTTTCAAAATCATCTTAAAACATCTGAGGATCATCAAAACATGTCTTGCAGTCAGGGTACAATTAGCCTAAAAATAGCCTACATTTGAGCAATTTTATCATAGCCATAGTTATCCATCCAGTTTATTTAAAATTGATTAAAATTCATCGTACTTAAAATACTAACCTAACAGAAAGAAAGAGCGTTTTGTGTACGAGTCATTCAATCGATCGAGAATTATCAGGCAAGAAAGTACGACGATTTTTGAGGAAATCCGGACACCCTTAAGGCATGGATAAAAGCTGACCACTTTAGTCCGGTGAAGCGACAAACAGACCTACGATATTGGTCGTAAATGCAATTTCTGAATTAATATTTCGGCTGAGAACTAAAGTCTGAACGTTTCAAAATGACAGTGATATTCATCTATTCAGCTTATTTAAATGACTATTTACAAATACTACGTTATATATATCTAAAATATTAAATTCTAGAAAATTGCTTTCTCTTCCACTATACTATTATAGTGCATTTATCTGCCTGAATATTTGTTTTTGTGTCGTGAATTCATTTTGTTCACATTTACGTTATTTTGTCTATAATTTTAATAATTTTGAAGTGTTTTTTATTTTACTTATATTTTATAAGCAAGAAAACATTTAGGAAACATATGCTGGAAACCTTCCAATGTCAAACGTGAGCTCTTGAACGTTTTAAGGGGACTGAGAGGGGGGAGGGAGGGGGAAGCTTTCTGCAAGCTTTTTGTTGCGTGTGCCAGACTATTTTGAAAGCATTGTCTCGTCAAAAGATGAAGTTAACTTTTTACTTTTGTATTATTCGGTTTTGTTATTTTATTTTATTTTWTTTTTTTCTCGCGTTATGGTCTAGCAGAAAATATTCAAAACTTGACTGCTTTCAGTAGAATGAAATACCCGTGAAGACAATACGTAGTTTTTTTTGAATTCCTTATTCAAGGGTTTTTTTCCGCCTTCTTCCCGCATTCCTCAAAACATGTCAAGCTAATTTCAAATTCAATCTATGAATTAACCTTTCCGTCCTGAGTTCAATCAGGCTAGTTTCAGGGCATATTCGAAAAAATTAGAAGGTTTTCGAAGGGTCCAAAAGTCAAGAAGAAAGTGGCTACTACAAATTGACTTCCCTATGTAGTGAATCGCATCCAATTATTTTTGAATGGCTTCCCGCCAATTTTACCTGATAAATTGGCTAAAATCGTCTTTTGTATCAAGTGACTTAAACATGTCTTTCGATTCAACTTTAATTGCATCTCTATTTTTCATAACGTTTTACAGTGTAAACAAATAAAGTTATTTAAACGCACCGACATTGCTAAGCGACCAGTCACTAATAGCTTCCTCACACAATTTGAAGAACTCTCCTGTACTGTTTTCAATCAACAAGATGAGCTATTGAACCCAAACATTTCTACTTGTTAGTCTTGCCTATGCTCACGACCGCTTTGTCGGGCGATTCTTCTTTTTTTTTTTCAGTTTACACTTTTATCTTTTCGTCTCAAAGTCAAATTTCTCTTCTCTCTACTGATATTATACATTCAATATCTTCAAAGGTGATTATCTTTTGAGATAAAACATATTTATTTATTTTTGATATTATCTTTAAGTTTTTTAATTATGTTTCATTGTTTTCTCTCGAGGCAAAACGCCAAGTTGATAAATGTAGCTAACTCTTAAACGATTTCAGCTGTTGAAAAATACTCGTTGATGTTGGTGACGTGAGTGGGCACGTATAGGATTTAGGGTAAGAGAGGCCTCGAGAAACATCTACAGACATAATTTAAAAGAAATACAGTTTGTCTTGTTTTCATCCTCTTTTTTAAAAAGTTTGTATGTTTTATTAGATATTTATCTGTATTCACTTGTGGCCTTTAGATTCAAGTTGTTTCGCGTCGGTCGGATGGTTCCCGGTTGATCGGTTGATTGATCGGTTTATTTTCCCATGCTTTTCTAGATAGTCAGTTATCTTTATTCAATTCCCTTTAGTTTCCAGTTGTTGGTCAGTCTGCATTTTACCGGTCTATCGGTTGGCTGGTTGGTTAAAGTTTGAATATGTTTTTTTTAGATAGTTATCTGTAATCACCTGACTTCCCTTAAGATTCCCGTTGTTTCGGGTCGGTCGGATGGCTCCCGGTCGATCGCGTGATTGGCGGATCAGTTTATTTTTCCATTCAATTCCCTCGAGATTCCAGTTCTCTTATAGTTTAAATATATTTAGCAGCTATCTGTTCCTTCCCATCGAATGACTAGTCGCCCCCTCTTCCCACCCCCACCCTATCCCCCCATATCCCATGGCGTGCGTTTTTCGAAAACCTTACAAAAACTACTTCCTGCCTTGCTTTTGACTTATTTTTTCCATGGCTACGATGACTTATTAATGCTTTTAAGTTTAAGGATCAGACTTCATGTCTCAGCAGAGTTCGTAAATAACGGCAAATGTCTTAATTGATATTACACCACGGAAGTGATCAAAGTGGTTAACTTGACTCCAAGGATCTGTCTAGAATTTTTTAGATAAAAATCTCTTGATTGTCATAACCAACTTCGAATTAAAAATATGAGTCCTTAATTTGATGAGCCGAAGTAAGAAAACTTGATATATCTCTTGTCTCCAGAGGGTTGTCCAGCTTGCACCAACGTCACTGAGATGCGCAAATCTATACTCAAGCATAACGTTTTATTTTTCATAAATCAAACCTAAACCTGTGCCAAGCTCGACATCAAAAGTACCGAAGGCCAATAAAAGTATTACGATGATTCAAATACGCAGAGCGTGAACGATTTCGAGAATGCACTTCATTTTCAATATTTTCCGTGAGAGACGAAAAACCCCATCTCAGTCGTTGGTCTATGCAAATGTTATGCCAGGACGTATAAAGTGTCTACTTTTATGAGTTGTTCTTAAAAACATTCGAAATTCAGATTAAAACTTTTAAATGGAGATCTCACTATATTTTCAATGAGCTTCTTAGTTAAAGAGCACTTAAAAACCTGGCG